CATCGTCGTCGTCGTCGTCGTCTTCGTCGTCGTCGTCGTCGTCGCCGTCGTCGTCGTCGTCGTCGCCGCCGGCGTCGTCGTCGTCGTCGTCGTAGTAGTACTAGTAGTAGTAGGAGGAGGAGGAGGAGTGGTAGTAGTAGTTAATCACTAGTAGTAGTAGTAGTAGTAGTAGTAGTAGTAGTTAATCACTAGTAGCTAGCCTTACTACAGTAAGTAGCGGAGGACGTCCCCGCCCCCCAGCCCGAAAAAGAAAGGCTTCGCGTGCAGCCTCAACTGAGGTGCTGCTTTTCTGCGTTCTCTGTCCGGCACAAATCCAGGCGTGGTTCTTGTTGCTCAGGTGCTATTGTCATGTTTTGCATGTTCCCAGCTCCGGAATGGAGAGCGGCACAGACAGGGCAAGCCTCCTTCCTTGCAAAGGTCATAGACAGGTTGCCGGAAGTTCAGATGCATGGCAGTGTTCCTGTCCTGTCGTCGTAAACTTGTCGTTGTGATCTTTCACAGTCAGTCCAATCTCCGTGTTTCCTGGTGTGGACAGTGTATCGCACTTTCGCCTTTCCAGCTTGAAAGCAAGGCTTTTTGATGTACTTTTGCTTTCCATGTTTACTTTCCGTCCCACCACCTCTGTTTCGACCAGTTTCTTTCCCAACCCCGAAGTGGCACTAGGGGCATTGCCTGCGCTGCGAGGTGGTTGGCCGTCCCGGCGAGGACGGTTGTGGTTAAACGGGTGTCAATCCTGTCCTGCTGAATGTTCGGGCGGACTCGGAGTGAAGTTGTTCCATGCAGGAGCTCAGCATGCTCTCTTTCGTGCTGGACTTGCATCCCTCGTGGGTCGCGGCCTTCAGAATGACTTGTTTGGGTATGCATGCAGGAAGCAGTCTCTTTGAGGCCGTCTGCTGGGCCGTGAGCGTAGTCATCTACTACCTGCTCTTTGCGACCTATGCTTCAAGGCCGGCAAGATTCACAGAAGCTGGAAGGGTTTCTGATCTAGGCTCGTAGTGTAAGCTTCGATCCAGTGACCCAGCTGAAGCGCGTATGCCTTTTCAGGACAAAGCCTGGAGCAGATCTTCACAGTGCAGTCACTGGGTCTTTCTAATGTCCATTCTTGGGCTACTTGCAGAAGACCGATACCACTTCAGGTAGCATACGGTGAAGTGGATGTCCTTCGCAAGTTGCTGCGTCCGACTGGCTTGTATTGTCTCGTCCTATCCGGTCATGTCCCGTCTTGGGCCCGTCCTCCGCCAGGAAGCTCGGAGCTCGTGCTCGACATTTCTCGCCTTCGGCTCAGTTCAAGGACACGTGGGCCAATGTGGGTCCCTCCGCTGTGCGCAAGTCTCAGAATCCTACAGGTTTTGGCCCGGATGGGCGGAATCCTTTGCACTTGGCAGCGCGAAGGGGTCAGGCCGGCACAGAGGATGTCAGCCGAGGCCAGTTGGTGGAGTTTCCATGCGTCTCGTGAAGGTGGAATGCATGAAGCTGCTAGTGGAGGAAAAAGCAGATTTGCAGGCAGGTGGCTCACGGCACTGGCCCCGCACGACACGAAGCATTTTTGGGATTCGCGAAGGCTCGGACTGGAAACAAAAAACAACACACGGCGCTGCATCTTGCCGCAATGAACAAGGCTGGCAGAGTCATGGTGCGTTGGGTGGGTCTATGAGTCATGAGTCACAAGGGTCACTCCGTTCGTAAAGCATGTGCCCGGGGGGGAGGCGGAATCCGCGTAGTTGCAAGAGTGTGACCACCTGGTGAGTAGCTCTGCCAGGTTCCAGACGCCGTGCGATTCCTTTGTCAAGTTTGCAGAGGCAATGCGCAAGTAATCAACGCACCGTGGCCGAGAACGGTTGAGCGTCACGAAGAATAGGCATGAATAGGCACTGGACCGGCATGTACCCAGCTGGCAAAGAATTGAACTCCACACTGCATCCAAGGCTGGAAATGCTGATGGAGACACCCCGCTTCACATCGCAGCCAGATTTCACAACGTAAGGTGCCGAGAAGACGGGCTTCTGACTCTAAGCGTAGACCTCGTCGGTTGGGTTTGCACTAGTTCGTGGAGGGAGCCATAGCGCGGGTTGGGCTGGTGGCGGGAGCCCGAGCATTTTGCAAAATTGGGGTGCAGAGGCCTGGCCGCACCAGTCGGGGAAGCGGAAATCTTCCGCGCTTGTATTCTGGACCGAGCGTGCCTTTAAGTATACAGAACGAAAGGCTGGGGCTACCTTGAACCCTTTTAGGTTTTTTTGTGGCAGCTAACTTGTGGGGTTTTGGGCGGACAGCAGATGTCGAGTTGTTTGCGCATTTCGTTAGCTTCAGCACTCGGCCTGTACATAGTCCACGCTGCACCCGCACCTTCCGCCCTTCCACGTGCTGCGCTTTCCTTCACCGCCGGGGTGCTGAGCAAGCACTGCGCCTGGGCACGACAATGACCAGAGAGATGCTGATGACTGTGGCCACGCAGTGCAACGGCCACATTCAGAGCCCTTGATCTTGGAACACCCGTTGACCAGGACAGCCTGGCACAGATTCTTACGGCCCTGCCGAATATACTTTTCCGTTTCTCGTATTTCGACGCCAATGGAGATGAGCGAAGAAACTTGCCCATGAGAGAAAGCGGACAAGCTCCTGAGAACTCCTGAACAAGACGCAACAGAGCTGAGTGAACACGATGCTACCTGTGAGCGATGCAACCCTTGGCACTCAGAACCCTGCTCGTCTCCCACTGCATCGTGAGTCGAGCCCACAACGACACCACCGCCCCGCCTTATAACACCGACGAGCTGGATGCCAGGGCAAAGAGATCAACACTGCTATCGGGGCTACCTGATGAGTCCTACCACCATAGGCTTTGGCTTCAAGGCCTTTCCACTCAAGGCTTCCGGCGAGCGCGACGACCGGCCCCACTTTCCCTTTTCCAGATTTTGCCGTGCCCTAGGTAATCCTCATGCTTGAGCATTCCCCTGCATACCCAGGTTGAGGTGCTTCGGGAGCTGTTGCGGCATCCTGGAGTGGACGTCAGGAGCGGCGCATGGCAGCGCTTGATAAGACTCTGGCCATTCAGTGCGCACCAGGAAGCTGAACAAGCAAGGGCTAGCGGCTGCTGAATGTCGGCATCCCACAACGTAGGGCGCAGGCCAGCGGTTCAGATATTTAAGCCACCAAGGCACCCCGTCCGACAAGTTTAGCTTCGATCACGACAGTGCGGAGTGTGCCATAGCCGACATGCTGCGAGATGCAGAGGCAGATGGTCAAAGATTATCTGATAAGTCGCAGTGCACCGTTGATTCTAGCGCAGGCCACAAGCAGACAAGCTCCCCGAGGCAGCACTGCCACGCCTGCACCTCTTGCTGAAGATGGTCGATTTTGCTGTCTGAACGTCGCCATCACGAGGTCGGAGACAGCGAGGACGACATTAGCCCAGGCGGGATCAGGGATCAGCCGAGTCGACATGCCTTGACCCTGGGAGTTTACGGAGTTAACCTGAGAGGAAGCGCTGGAATTGTCCAGCTTGGCAGGCAATAGGCGGAGCTGCTAAGATGTCACATCGACCTGTGGCAAGCGGCTGGTGAGTGCCAGGCCATCAAGTGGCGCGGTGCCGGCGAAGGGAGTGGAGCCACTGGAGCAGGCAAATTTCTGTCCTGCACTCTTTGTAATTGGTTCTCCTTCCCATGCCTTGCAGGTCGTGCCTGACGAAGAGGACCCCAGGCGGGCATCTTTCAAGTGGCCAGAACCATCCTTACCCACGTCCTTCGGAAGCAAGTCCGTTTTAGCGGAACAGTCTGTAAGTTTGGACAGGCCAGAGAAGTCGCAGAACGTGCCTTTGATGTCACGGCCTCTTTTCCAAAGACAACACATCCGAAATTTGAGAGCTGGAATGACATTGAGGTCTGTGTCGCGAGAAGCCGAGCAGAACTTCCTCAGGACGGCTCAGTGCAGGGATTGTTACAGTTCCGGGGGTTGAGGCAGCGGCGCAGAGTTCTTTGTCTTGACAGGGTCACGCAAGGTTCCGTGCAGCTGTGCTGAGCTTAACCCGGATGCCATACTAATTTGTGTCGTAGGCAAGTGCATAAAGTTCTCGAGGTCGGTCGATGCCCCTATGGCAGTCACGAACTGTGGAGATCCTGGCTACTTGAGATCTTGCTTCCTGCCTGCGTGCCCCAGATCTCTCATATTTTGCTGCGACCGAGAGAGCTGTGAATCGAGCTGGTCAGCAGCAGCACAAACTGCAGATGGCAGAAAGTCACCAGCTGCTTTGTCATATGCTAAGAATCCTTGCTTGCTGGCCCGTGTTCACAAACTTTGCGCTTCATTTTGCTAGTAGCAGATCTTCCATCCACCCTCGGTGTGCCCAAGCCCAAGCTCAGCATCGAAGCACCTGCACCCTTTCGTGCTCTGCCAGGCCTCTCCTCGTTCATGCTAAGTGCTGGCAAGCAGCTCAAGAATTTAAGGGCTGCTCTTACGTGCATTGCTTTGCCACCCGCCAAAGCCTGTCCCAGGTCTCGGCGCTGTCAGCAGATTCTTCCTGGGGTCGATCGCAGAAGATTCAGACAAAGGCATCTCTGCTTTGCTTATGTAGGATGCTTCGCGGAGTCGTAGTTGGAGATGCTACACAGGTTTCAATGGCTCAGAATCGCCATCGGTTAGTATCGAGGACCAAGCTGGTTGGCTGCTAGTAGCTATGCACGCAAACAGAGATCCTGCCGACTTCCCCGCTAGGACTTCGCAGAGATGCGCATGCTTGGCGAAGGAGCGTTTGGCAAGGCCATTGCAAATCAGTCCTGCATGCCAGCGTTGAAATCCGTTTTGAAATTGTTACCCTTGTTGTTTGATTCAGATCTCTCAGACATGGCATCCGCTACAGGTTGTCCTTGTGCGCCACAAGGAGACAGGCGAACTCTACGTGCAGACCCAAGCCTCAGATCGGATAGTCAGCTGCGGCATTTGCCCTCTTGCATGGTGACATCTTCATAGACCGTGGTAGAAGGCAATGAAGACAATGGACAAGGCAAAGTTCAAGGCGCAAAAAATCACAAGCAAAGCTCAGAGCGAGCAATTCATCTTGAGCCTTGGCAGCACTGGGCAGCGACATCTGAGTGTCTTCATCTACCTTGTTGCTGTTGTTACGGACTCATCGCTAAGGAGAACGACAAGGTGCGGGACGGCTGAAATCATAAAGGGTCTTGAGAGGTATTTTGTGGCATGTGCACGGAGCGAAACGACTGATGCTGAGCCTCCTCATGTGTGATGTAACAGCCATAGATAGCCACAGTCTCGCACAACCTGTGCATACGTGTAAATCAGAGGTACTTGAATGCACTCGGGCTTGCGATTGTTCGTATGCCGTGCGGTGTTGTGAACAGACGGTTTTGCCTATACCTCTATCGCAAGATACGCTTTTGCCGCCTTGCTCTCGAGCTCCTGATGCCCCTACCAACAGGATCCATCATCGGGTGATGATGGTGATGTGGTGAGAAACTGCGACATCACAGATCTGTTTGTGGCCACTGTCAAGTACATACGAGGTTTGAACGATCTCAGGTCTGTCTGTTGCCATGTCTGGCTATTGCTCCCGGAGACGAGATGTCGAACAGCTCTGGCGAGTGATGCGGTCGACATGGTTTGTCCCAGCAAGCAGTTGTCAAACGGCCTTTTATTTATCGGAACGACGGCTGCGTGAAGCCCAACGGCTGCATAAGAAGCTGGTCCCGTCCAGCAGCCCTCGGCGAGCCCAGCTTCAGAGAACACACGGAATCGTTTGGTAATGGACAGGCACCCCTTCATAGTGCAGCTGCACTTCGCCTTTCAATGCTCATACTTCTGGGCTCCGATCTCAGAGTTTCGTATTTGCCCGCGCCCTCGAGCCCCGAGCCTTGAGGCACTTGTCATGGACTTCTGCCCCAACGGAGATCTCCAGGCAGAGCGGGGCGATTTCACATCCAGCGAAGAAGGTGCCAAGAGCTCATCCCTTCCAGGGCTGTCTCATGAAGTACGGCCTGCCTGGACTCCGCCTGGAGGATCCTGCAGATGGCTGTCTTCCGAATCTGAAATTATTGTTAGGCACCACGTGATCAGGACGCAGCACGGTTTGCTGGAGAGGTGCTTCTTGCGCCGCTGTGGCTGCACGGATTTGACAGGAACGCGACGGGCAGAGGGCATGAATCAGCCAGGTTTTGCGAATTTCAATTGATTCGAAAGCAAGAGAGTTCGAAGACACCGTCCAGTGAGCTTTGGTTGAGTTAAGACTTGTCGAGAGGCCTGAAAAGGGGTGGTTGGAACTAAGTATGTCTAGGGAAAAATAGGAAAGATTAGAAATCAGGGAGATCAGAGGAAAATAATCGGCTGGTGTCGACAATGAGCAGTTGTTGGTGTTTTCGAGTTGTGCATCGAGACCTAGGGTTTCGGACCTTAATCCTAATTTTCTCTTGCTTTTGCCTGGCCCATTAACGCAAGTTTCAATGGTAGAGGGTTACACCGCAGTGTGCTCGAGTACGGTATACCGTAGGCTCCGCAGCCCAGCGTAAATCTCCAGATGTGAGGCTGGAGCATCTTCACGGCATCCGTGTTATCTTTCGAGATCTCAAACTGGAGAACGTCCGAGCCATAGAATGAGGGTAGACGGGTAGAAGTCGGGATGATGCCCGAAACCGTACAGCCGAGAGGTCGTCACCGACTACAACTATCGAGCCAAGGTGGCATGCCTGGCTTTGCGCCTGTTTGAGGAGGTGCTGTCCCCTTGCGTCAGGTCACCGACTTTGGCTTGGCCAAGAAGCTGTATGCTGGAAGCAAGCTCCTCTTATTCTGCAGAGTCGGAGGGGCAAGGAATGCTGTGCCGCAATCTCTGTATGATGCACAAGGTGATGCTAACACAATGTCAGCAACCTGGTGAGTCAGAATACTTTGCCCGAGCAGCTTCGTCGGAACATCGTTTCGTGCAGTCGGTGGGAAGCTGTGAAGGTGTGGATCCTATGGGTATGCGGCACCGGAGATCATGTTGAACACTGGCAGGCAGTTGACAATTGTGAGATTTATCTCCGCTGCTCTTGGCTGCTGCTGAGATACACCTACGCCGTGGATCTTTATTCCTATGGGGTGATGCTGTACATGCTAGTGAGCGGCGGTGAGACGTCGCAACGAAGTCCTGCGCCGGGAGCTCGGTAAATTCCGGTTTGTCAGACTGAAATGCAAATAGTTCTATGCTTTAGGCAGAAGACTCGACTTCCTCCAAAGACCCATGGTCAACTGAACCTCGGATGTATGCAACGTCTGTGTGATGTTCGGAGTCCATGCATTTTAAGTGTGCCCGTGGCGCATCATCGCACGCATGTCAGGAAGAAAAAGCTCAGAGATTCAGAGAAGGACAGCGGCGAAAAGCGGAACTTGCTTGGATGTCCAAGTCTACAGAGCGGATCAGGGGTCTGAGAAAGCAAATCAGTGAGTGCTGGTGTGATATCGAATGCAGCTTCAGCGAGACAAGAAAAGGCATGTGGAGATAGTGTTGATGATGGGTGGGGGTTCTTTTTTGGGTATTTTTTTTTGGTTTTTTCGGGGTATTTTTTTTGGTTTTCGGTTCAGTGGGCATGTGAGTCCATAAGTCCATCAGTCAGTCAGTCAGTCAGTCAGTCGGTCAGTCAGTCAGCCAGTGAGTCATTCGGTCGTCCAAACAGGAGCGGTCAGTCAGTCCGTCGGTTAGCCAACCGAGCGGTTAGTCAGTCAGTCAGTCGGTCAGCCAGCCAGCCAGCCAGCCAGCCAGCCAGTCAGTCAGTCAGTCCAGTCAATCGGTCGGTGAGACAACAGGGTGGTCAGTCAGTCGGTCAGTCGGTGCGTCGGTCGGTACGCCAGCATCCCGGTCTGTCAGTCAGTCGGGCGGTCGGTCGCTTGATCCTTGTCGGTTAGTCGGTCGGCCAATGTTTGAGATATATGGCTAATTAACCGATATCGCCAAACGAGGGGGGGCCTGTTTCGGATATAGGATG